GCAAAGTGCTTTTACCAACCCTTTCCTTAATCACCACCGAGGGTCTAGACGAGCCCTTAAAAAATTCCGCCTTAATCCTGGAACGTCGGAATCACACTAAAACGGGAATACTTTTATCCGAGTAATCCCAATCGTCTTCGCGGATTAGCGATGTAACATCGGGAGGCTGGAAAAATGCAAGAAGCAATCTAGCAAATGGCATTAAAATGTTTCGGTTCAACCCTCTCGCGGCGCGATGCGATTTTTCAAAGTCGCTAAGAAAAAAAACCCTTTTGTCCGAGGCAATGTAGCGAACTGGTGCGTCTTCCGCTGCGGCCAATGTTGCTACAGTACAACGAAAGATATCTTGATACTTTTCTTAGTTCTAATGATAATATATATATATATATATATATATATATATATATATATATATATATATATATATATATATATATATATATATATATATATATATATATATATATATATATATATATATATATATATATATATATATATATATATATATATATATATATATATATGAAACTGATGAATTTATATTATATTCCTTAGATGATATTTGAAAATAATTGATAATTTATGAATCTTAGAAAGTATATCGATTATGTGAGGGCGTGATTTATATGAGTTTCTATTATTATTTATATTACCGTTAAATTTAACCCGTTAAATATATATGCATATTAACTGCTTGCCTTTTGATATGTAAAGTATCTATTCTAAATTCTAAGTTAGGATATAACCTATCTGTGTATCCAATTTCCATTCTTCCTTACAAACTTTCGCATTTATAATTGAAGATTTATATTATGTTTGTCAATATAAAAAAAGTCTCAAGATTGTTGGTGTGCTTACAGATCGTGCACACAAAGAATTCCGACGTTTTTAACGAATGCAAATCGTCCGGAGTTGCCCTTTCTTTTGCAACTTTCAACGTAGAATACAAAATGAATACTTTTACATTTTTTATGGCATTGATAAACCGATGAAATTGACCTAGGTAATCATACTATTGTACGATAAGGAATTATATAACTTAATTTCATCTCAGTTATAATTAAGTAAAATTAGATTATAGCAATTCTAAAAAAGGAAGTTTTCACTTAGACTGTATTTTTTATTTATCAATGTTAATTTTGAATCATATTTTATAAATTAAAACAGTTACTCTGCTATTTATCTTGTATTGGTGTTCCTTACATTCCAATTATGTTAAGATTTGATTAAATCTTATTATGCAAGAATCGTATTTGTCAATTTAGAGCATTAGTTAGTTTCAAATGTAAAAAAATCCTGTTAATGTGTACATTTATTTTATTTGTTTATTTTTAGTCAAGAACAATTAAGAAACTCCGCTGTTTCTTTAAGTAATAAGTTTGAATTTATCATTATGAATTAAAAAATAAAGTGATAAAGCGCTAACCAGCTGAAATGTCTTGTAACAGTAAAATCTCAACTCGTTCATCGCGAATTCAATTCTTAAATCATTATCGTAAAGCGTGAGCCGCTTGGAGTCGAGATTAAAGCAGGCTTAATCCTAAAAAGCTGCTATTCTCTAATTGCAGTGAAGCCATAAAGCACTACACCTATAAAGGCTAAGCGGTTGGATTCAAAATAATGTGTTTAACATTTTCGTAGCGACGGTATCTGCGACATAAAACGGCCTGTAATTTATTCTATTGCTGAAAGGGTTGGGCTGGTTCGGGGAGGGAATTACCCAAGGTGGGTGCTAAAGGGTTAAGCTGAATATACGGGGTCGCGCCGGCAAACTTTGTTAATTTATGCGCTTAAAAATGTCAACTGGAAATTATGACACCAAAACACATTTCCTATATATATATTGCGAAAGGAATTGTAATACATTATTTTTATTGTTTAACCGTGCATGTTTCTATCATATAATCTGATGAGGCAGCTACCGTGGCTTATGAACACTGGTGACATAAGGGAGGTTGTTAGTGCATTGTTGGACTTTTATGATAAACATTCCTTTTGTGATCAAAATTTTTCTAAGAGATATAATAAAAAATATTTTTATTAGTTTTTGTATTGCAATATATATTAATTAATATATGTAATAATAATAATATATATATATATATATATATATATATATATATATATATATATATATATATATATATATATATATATATATGTGGTAGTGTTTCAAAATATGCATGATGCACCGGAGGTATATAGGGTAGTAGCTGGTTCATGTCTTTATATTTTTCGTACGTAATAGGTCATTTTGGTACAAAGGCTTCAGGGCGATTTTTTCAAATTTTAACGGTCTTCCAGGACGTAGAGGTAATAAATTGATAATTTTAAATTCTGTGTCCGTCATCGTTGTTTTATAAAAATGGTATATGGTGCAATTTTGAGGAACCTCGACCAACATATTTGCAACCAATTGTCCTGTTCCCCATTAGTATTTTTTTTTATCTGTTTTTTAATTGCATTTTGGAGATTTTTTGTTGAAATGAAATTCAAATGCAAATCGTCCGCGGGTAAAACCGCGGGACAGAGCTAGTATAAAATAAATGAAAAATAACAAAACACTGATCGGCATCCATCTGCTATGCCACCTACCTCTGTCAATTGGACTTACGCCACTTTCATAATCAATGATTATACAATTTCATTTACCGACCGATTTTAAGTTGTACAAAACATGGGATTTTTTTGAGAAATTAAACACTAGTTATATATAAAAAAAAATTACATTAAATTAAGCATGAATTACGTGATAGTTCATTTTTCTTAAAAATTTACTTACACCACTTTCAAAATAAACGGTCCAATTATAAAAAGCTGGTTTTACTTTCAAATCTGACAAGAAAAAAACCAATGTCAGTTCATTATCTTTTGACTGTACATTAGAACTTTAGAAGCTAAAATGCCAAAACATTGAAAAAAAAAGGACTTCAATTTGTAATACTTTTCCTTAGCCTCGGGGGTTTGAAAATATCATTTACAACTCAATTAAGACCCGTAGTGTAGTCCTGGGGGCGTTGCTTTGCATTCAAATACCGAACCCAATCTCGGGTTTGACTTTTTGTCGTGCTAATTTACAGAATGATTTTTTATATTTAGCTCGGGTCTAAATATTCTAGGTTAGTCATTAAATTCATTTAGTTATCAGGGGGAAAATTTATACAAAAGTCGTTTGCTTGGGTACTTCTATTCCATTCGTGTTTCAACCGTGAAGCAGTTGTGTTTGCATGGCTGTGTTTTGGTTTGAAGGGTGGGATATGGCAGTGAATTTACAGGATACAGAAGTATCACACCTTAATCCTCAGGAATGTCAATGCATAGGGGGTATCATGGGCGAAACAGTATACTCTATTAAGTCCATAGTACTGCTCATGTCTATAGGCGCCGGTTTTCATATTCCATCAGGTGGGTCGTTAGCTTATTTGCCATTCTAAGTTGCATAAAAATAAATATAGGTATTTACATTTATTATCTTATAATGTATGAGTATTTAAATCACGTAGGAGAATTGGAATAATATAAATAATGAAAAGTACTGATTGTTTTTATGTGGCTTAAAGACAGAATATTCAAAACGAAAGTGTTTTAATATTTTGATTTAGGCTATCGTAACTGTTCGAGACACTTTAATGTCTAATTCAATAACATTGTTAGCTTCTATTTTGACTGAGTTGATCTCAAACATCTCAAAGTTGTCAACTGAGGTGTTAGTAGGCATCTATTGAGGAGTGCCAAGCGGGAGATAAGGCGCGAATTGAAACAAGCTTTGTGGGGGCGGCCGGGGTGAATCGTCTCACTCATTATTTAAATATTCTGATGACTGCGTTAAGCATCCAGTTAGCGTTAGTGGAGCGTTCACGATAAATCTGACGCCATTGTTTTGTTGATTGAGTTTTGATAGTACTTCATAGTAGGTTAGTGTTTGCCGTCTTAGTAAAGGGATTGGAGGTTGGATTTATTAGAGCTAAGTATTACCTAGAGATACCTATATCCTTTACCACATTATTAAAATATATGTGTTAAAATAAAATGCCTCAAATACAATTTTTACATACAATTGGTAATATGAATTTTGGAGATCGAGAAAAACATTAGATGGGTAATCGTAACCGTTGTAGCTATTTCTATTATATTATTATTAAATATAATAAATATTTTTACATGTATTAATGTTGAAAAAAGTAGGTATAATCAACAAGAAAACAGGTTGTGTTTTTTTATAAAAATAAAATTACTCTATCGAGTCAAATGAAGTCGAGTATTATTATAATGTTATATATTAATTACTGACTTCATTCAGATTGATTGTCTTTTTGTTATGTTTCCATATACTTTAAATGTATAGAAATGTTAGTAATGCGTATGTAAAATCTCTGTTACCAATTTGCTTTGAAGACAATATAACCTGCAACCTTCTGAATAAAAAATGGCCTCAAACTAGATATTTAGAACACTAAAATATACGTAATGATAATATTTAAATAATTTCAATTCATGATGATTATCATTTTTTTTTTCTCAATGTTCTCTACCTTAAAGATTATCTAGAAGAGATTGCTTATGATAATTTTCCCTTTGAAAAATTAATTCATCCAATTGTTTACTGTATCCCTAATTTTAGTAACTGATGAAATAATGACGATGTCTGTTCATGGAAGATATTTATGAAAACTTGATGTCAGGGTCTTAATAAGAGCAAGAGAAGCTAAAACAACAATTTAGAAATGTTGTCCGTTTGTTGCGTCTTTATTTTGTTCCGGCCTCACGTAAAAACAATTGCATCAAATTGAATGTGGTTTTCATAGTTTTATTCCTGAAGACTTAACTTCAAATTTGGTGTATATTTTATTTTAATATGTTGTTTAAAAGTGGTACTTTTCATTAGTATTTTTACTTCTGGAATCCACGTATATGAAGTAGTAGGCAAAAACATAGTATGTAAATGTTAATACAACAGATAACATTACTTTTACTAATAATATTTATTATTGTTGCAGGTATAGCACATCAGTTGGCCGGCTTGCCGGGTGGTGAATGGGGTGCGTTAGCTCGGCATTATCCCCCGCCACTGCTACCCACGCATGCGCACTTCACGCCGCATGTTCTTCCGCCTACGCACACGCAGTCACAACACGTTCCACCACCACCTATCGATACAGGTTTGAATGCCTTTTAAATTATTTAAGTATTTTTATGTTATCTATAAATGACAAATAAGCTGACGGCCCATCTGGTATGAAATAGTAAATGTTGCTTATAGACACGAACAGTACCATGGATTTCACAGAATATACTGTGACACCCATAAACTTTTTACACATTGGCATTTTGTTCTCATCACTTTTTTTTAATATATTGATAGAAATAATGTTAATAATATTTATATTTAATAATAGCTTTATAAGATTTATCTTATCATTAAATGATACAATAATTACAGATACAACGTCAGAAAATCCAATAACAATGCTCGCACACAGCACAACGAGTCCTGTGAACTCCCGTCCGAGTTCACCGCAAGACGACGACATATCTGTTACCGCTTCGAGCAGCCCACCACCCGACGACCGTCCAGGAGCCTTCACCTCCGTAACTCGAACCAGAAAACCACTGCAACCGCTGCCAGCGCCATCCAGTCTCTTCCATAGCGCTTTAGCAGCACAACTATTTCTTAATTCACCACTACTTCCAACACCTCCAGCGTGGCTCTATTCTCAGCTTTATGGCGGATATGATTGGTGGTTGAGACCACCTGCGCCACAAGAAGATTCCAATTCGAGCCCTGACAGAGAGGAGGAAGGGTCAACGCCCTCAGGCACAGGAAAGAAAAGACCGGCGTCTCCAGAATGGACCGATCAAGGAGTTAGGACTCGCAGTAAATCTCTTATTACCTCAGATAGACGACCAGTGGATGTTTGGCGTCCTTATTAATCGAATTTAAATAGATATTTGTCGGCTATTACGAGTCTTTACAAGTAATATGTGCAGATGAGTAATATTCAGAGAGTATATCAGAATGACATTTACTCTACGGGAAAAATTCTTTTTATGTATGCTTTGTAAGCTCAGGTCTCTAAGTTCGACAGGAAATAATTCTCAGTTGTGCAACTACACGGCTTCCACAAAAGGAAATTTTGTCCACGAATAAATTTAACCATCGTTTGTGCAGATCTGAATTGTGGCAAGGACACATTTTTTGGTGTTTCGCTTGTTTACCGTCCGATTGTGTGAAATGGACACGTTTGTGAAAATGGACGAGTTAGTGTTAGTGTCGTATAAAACTTGGCCAGTGCGGCTTTTAATACCGTTTAAAAAAATATCCAACTTTGACGTACCGAATTGTCTCTGAAGTTGCCCGCTCTGAAAGATGTTAATAGATGTTAATGCGTCCATCGATCATTTTAATGTTGGATTGCTAGTACGATTGTTGTGTGGTCCACGTTTTATGTCAAAAACGAATTCGATAACATAGCGTTTATTGTCGATAGGTGTTTTTACGTTAGTTAAATGAATGTGAATCTCAAATGGTAATGTTTAAAGAAATTGTTGACTGTATTATAAGATAATGCAAAATCTGTAAATAAAGTTATCGATTTTTTTATTTAAATGTATTTTTCACTATCCTTTTCGTTTTTAGCACTATAGAAAATGTACTATATAAACATATTAGGGCATTTAATAGTTTATGGTTGTACATCATGGCATCACATGATTCTCAACTGAATTCAAAAAAAGCAGAAGGTTATTAATAAATTTTTTTTTGCTTGTTATTTCAGGACATTTAGAGATTTTTATTTGTAAAATTATTTTTGTATCTGAAAGGTTTCATAGAAATTTCATCAAAAATGGTTGAAGTATATCGTTTTTTTATATAACAAAATCTACTTGTATTGTTATGATATCATAGGGGATAGGAAAATCATATCATCTGAATAATTATAGGAGTAGTTTGGCGCGACAAAAACTTTTGGATTGTATCCATTTTATAATAAGAACCACAAGAGCAGCCAATTTGGCATGAATCCGAAAAATATTTTAATGTAACTTTTAGCTTTTGCGTCTACATGTTGCTTTGATGTCTACATGCGGTTTATGATCAGAGAAATCCTGGTCAAATTTAATGTGTTAATTAAATTTTTTCTTACACCCAAATATTATATTTTGTTCATCGTATAGACGTATGTTCAACGATATGTTGGCCACTGTCACTTATCCCTACTAACGCGGGGAACGTTGGTAAAAATAGAATTTTATTCCAAATTATGATAGAGATGAATGTAAATTAATTTTCACTTATCCAACCATTATCTGCCCATTACTAAATATAGGTCTCCTCCATAGACTGCCATAAATTACGATTCTGAACCACCCACATGTGCTGACTTACTGCAAAGCATTTGAGGTTGTTACTTCATCTAGTGGAGGTCGTCCTATAGTGCGTTTGCTCATATATTTCCACTTATCCTTAATGAGCGGTTTTTGCTAACAAGTATATTTCTGTATATTACTGTCTACTTATTTATTATCTGATAAACTTCGTTTTCAAAGAATTCTTATCGATATTATCCTAATCGGATTATCATTTTTATTAAAAAGTTTATTTAATAAATTCTTTACTTTAATCTATAAGTATATAGTATAACTTTAATATACTCACAGTGCTCCTTGAGGTATATTTTTATGCATATAATTGATACATATACATCACGTCTATCACCTAATGGGGTAGGCAGAAAGATTATTTTTTTTTATAAACTATGAATAAAACGACACATTAGAATATAATTCGGATTTATATAAAACAAATTTACAATTATATTAGGGGCTTTACGACGATTTATGTATAATAACAGACATGATTAATTGTACTGCCACAGTATTTCGTCATTTAAATACAAAAGAATATTATACATAAAATATAAATAAAATTTAAATTACACATAACCAGAAATTGGATCGTTAAATTATAAGAGAAATATTCAAACAAATATTTTTTATTAAAGTAAATTTACGACGTATAATAAGTATTTACTATTTTTAATAATTTTATTAATTTAATGCGTCACTTTTATTTTTCATACAATTTAGTTTGGCAAGGTTAGTTTGTTATTATGTACCAAGCAAGCTCATGGCTTACTTGGTTTACAATAATTGTCGACAAGAATGCTCCAAAACTAAATTATTTTATGAATAAATTAAGTAACATCACTTCGGGCATACACAGGATTGTGAACTTCTGCATTTCTTATCAATAAAGTCCATTAGACTTAAAACGCCGTTGAGGACTTCAACAGAAGTGGAGATTATTTCTTCTTTGGGCAACAGAAACCTGTGTGTTTTCCCCCTCAGTTCGATCATATAAGAGTATGGTATATTGGCAACAGCGTAACTCCAGTCTGTGCTAGTGCCGGCTGCAAAGTACATGAGGTCTTTGGTGCTACCAACTTTGTAAGTATGACCGTTAGTTTGGTAGATGGCCTGCAGGACAATAACGTTTGATTAAGGAAATATGTACATGCTATATGTACAATGAATATGTAATAAATAGGTCATCACGAAAAAAAGCGTCATATTTGACAAACACTCACATTCATGCAAAAAGGCACGTACGTGCATACCTGCATACACACACAAAATTTTATCCAAAAGGATATACTCACAGATTGGCTCCGTAGACATTTTATCAAAATCGTTTCAGTAATTTAGTTTTTAGACCAAAATAACTGGCTTTGTTACATTTCAAGTCGGTTTTTTTATGGGACACAATCTTTAATTATGTATGCGTTTTATGTCCGAAGTATTAAGCAGCAAGATAACGCGATATTTGATACAAAAGGTATAACATTCCCACCAATAAACAAGATCTCAGGAACGATAAAGCATAATAGATGCTATGAGTTATAGTATTTTGCGATATCTATAGCGTTGGTTCATATCTATTACCGACAGTTATTTGGAGAGCAATACTTTTGTTGGTGGAACTTAGTGTCACTAATTTTAACCTTCGCCATAGCTGTACCGCCTTCAAGCAGATCAACATAATCAGGACAAGGGTCACCGGCGTATCCCCAAGGGAAGATTATCACCTCCCCGTAGCTATGGAATGACAGGAATGCCTTGAATGATGAATCCGAATCTGTGATCGCACTTTTTTTTTTTTTTTTTTTTTTCTGAATGTGTTTGCTGTTGGCCGTGTGTGGCCTTTACAGCTTCACCGGACGCGAATGCAGGGGCGAGTGCTGATGGCACTCCAAGCCCGCGAGAGCGGAGCGACAGAGGTGTCGACTCTTTCTTATGGACTGCGGTGTGTGTGTGCGCCTAAGGGCGCCAGAGTGGCTCGGCCTCGGCTTAGGCCACCGCACTTCGACCCCCGTCGAGGGACGGCGAAGGGTCGGTACGTCTGGGTGGGTGAGATTGCGACGCGGTTGTTATGCGCTCGGGCGCAAACCTGATCGCGCGCGGACCGTGTGTCGCGAGGGTTCTTCGCCCCCGCCGGCGGGGGCGGTGTGTGCGATGTGTGGGTGTGTTTGTAGGGGCTCTTGTCGAGGGTTCCGCGGTAGGTAGGGAGGGAGACGCGTTTGCCGTCGTAGTTGGATCATCGGGGTCCAAGAGTGCGTGCCTCGGGCGACGACGTTTTGGAGCGACGTTCTCTATGGGGGGTTTGTATTTGACCGCTCTTACTATGAGCGGATTTGAATGGGACTCGGCTGAGGCAAAGTAGCGTCGAGACGCTTGCTTCATAAATTGCCTTATAGTGGGTATTTTGAGGTCGCGGTGTAGATCCACGTTGCGCACGTACCACGGGGCGCCCGTGGCCCGTCGCAGAAATTTATTTTGCACCACCTGAAGGGGGTGAAGTAATGAAGGAAGGGCGTGGGCGAAGACGACACTAGCGTACGTCATCACCGGTCTTATACATGCTTTATAGAGCGTCAGCTTTGCGTTAAGCGACAATTGGCTGCGCTTGTTAATAAAGGGATGGAGGCGTCCCAGTATAAAATTGGCCAGGCCTCGGACGCGCTTAAGATGAGATGCGAAACTCAACTTGGAATCTAGTGTCACGCCTAGGTATTTGGCTTCGTTCGTCCAGGGGACGGGCGTGCCAAACAGCTGAATAGAGGCGGGAAGGGATGGTTTTCTTTTGGCCGTGAAAAGCACGGCGGCGCTTTTATCTGGGTTGACTTCGATGCGCCATTTTCTGAACCAGTAGGCCAGCTCGTCCACCGCCCGTTGAAGCCTGTTGGCTGCACAGGCGGCCGACGTGCTGTCCACATATAGGGCTGTATCATCAGCAAAGAGGGCGATTTGCACTCGGGGCTGACGCGGGATGTCGTTGGTGTACAACGAGAAGAGGGTGGGGGAGAGGACAGCGCCTTGAGGGACGCCGGCTCTAATCGGTCGTGCGCTGGAACGCACTCCATTGACGCGATAGCGATATGACCTATTGGACAAGAAGGCTCGTATGATGTGCACGAGCCTGTCTGGCACTCCCATCTTGTGCAGTTTGAAAATCAAGCCGCTGTGCCAGACTTTGTCAAAGGCCTTCGCTACGTCGAGAAACAGGGCACATGTGACCCCGTTGGATTTCAGGTGTCGGGCGTTGAGGACGTGTTCTACTACACGATGTACTTGATGAACAGCTGAGTGCTTGGCTCTAAAGCCGAACTGCTCATCGATCAGGATGCCTTTGGACTGTAGCCAGTCTTTCAGGCGTGCGAGTATTAGCTTCTCATACAGCTTCCCCAGCGAGCTGAGGAGACTGATGGGGCGAAAACTGGTGGGAAGGGACTTATCTTTCCCAGGTTTGGGAAAGCCTACGACATCGGCTTCTTTCCAAGCATCTGGAAAGATGGCATTGGTAATTGCCGCATTGAAGATCGCTACTAGAAGTAGCAGAATGGTTTCTGGCAGACTCTTAAGGAGTCTGTTAGAGATACCGTCGGCACCGGGTGCCTTTCGGTTGGGGGTTCCTTTGATGAGTGTTCGCACCTCATCCAGTGTAACGGGGGGAGTGACTCTACTGGAGGGATCGACAGGATTCGCTCCACCTCGGATTCTACCTTCTCTAGATGATCATCGGGCACCGGAAGGGTACTCGGCATGCATTGGGCCTCTAGGCTGTCTGCTAGGCATTCAGCCTTTTCTTCATCAAATAAGGCCGGACTGTTGTTTGTTCGGACTAAGGGCGGAAGGTCGGAGTAACACTGGTCTGTTTTGAGGGTTTTGGCTACTCGCCAGTACGCGGTATGGCAGGGGGTGAGTTCTTTGGTGAACTTATCCCATCTGTCTCGCCGAAGTTCCGCTATGCGACTCTTTACTTCGCGCTGTAAATCTCGCAGGCGGGTTCGGTTCTCTTCTGAGGGATAGCGGTCATACGCTCGTGTGGCTGCATTCTTAGTGCGCAGCAGAGCCCTTACATCATCAGGCAGGTTCCATCTACGGTCGCCCGTATCCGGAACCTCCCTGGAGCAGTCCTTGACTGCCGACTGCAGGTGCTCTGTTAGCGCGTCAATGGCTGTAGTCGTCTCCTCGATAGATTCGACTACGTCCGGGATGCGGTCCAGTACCGGAGAGTTAGTCGACTCGAGGACTTTCTCGAGCCGGCTCCAGTCCGTGACCGTTTTAAATTGAGGCGCCCCGTCTGCAGGTGGGCCTAGCGAGAATGTGACGGGGCGGTGGTCGGAGATGAGTTCGGCATGGACCTCCATAGAACTCAGCCTTAAGGCTACGTTCTTTAGTAGGGCCATGTCGAGGATGGAGGGCTGATGAGCAGTGTTTGCCGGATAGTGCGTGAAGTGCACTGGGGGAAGGATGTCGAAACCCATGGAGAGCGAAAGGCGTTCCAGGGTGAGACCGTTTGGGTTCGGATAAGCACAGCTCCAAAGGCTGTGCTTGCAATTTAGATCTCCGGCAATAATTACCGAATCCCCCAGGTCCATGAGAGCTTGGAGGTCGGCCCGGAGTAGCTTTTTGGAGGGAGAGAGATATGCCGATGCTATATAGATCGGTCGGTGGTCTGTCATCGCGAGGAGGCATATCGAGGCTTCCATGTTTACGAGCGGAGGCGTGTCGATCGGAATGCACTGAAGGGACCTTCGGTAATAAATTAACGTACCGCCGCCGCGACTGATGCGGTCATTGCGTACGATATTGTAGTTTGCGATTCTTGGACCGCGTGTTGAAGGCTTGAGGAAGGTCTCCTGTAGTAGGAGAACGTCCACCTGATGGACGGTGAGAAACTCACGGACTTCGTCTCTTTGCCCTTGTAGTCCGTTAGCGTTGAAAAACGCTAACTTAACGGACCGAGGTTTGCATCTTTTCGCCCTTAGATCCATAATTAATTGTTAAAATTGAGGATGGCGACTAGTACGCCGATGTGCTCGCAGACGGCTGCGAGTCTTTCTTGTGGGTCGTTGACTGACCTTAATTTGGAGGCCAGGGCCGTAATCTCGCCAGCGTCGATGGAGCTGGCGAGTTTCGCTACCAGTGCGAAGTCGGCTGCGAAGCTTGAGCCTATGTTCGTTCCAGTTTGCGGGGCGGGGCGCGGAGGAGCGGGCGATGCCACAATCTTGGCAAGCGTGGGAGCGGTTGCAGATGGCATGGTGGGTGAGGGGGTCGCCTTGACGACCGGAGGTCGCACCCAAGCATTTTTTGGCGGGGGAGGTGGTGCAGCTGAGGGCTGCGGGATAGTAAGGGGCGCGGGGCGTGCTGCGCGGGGTGCCTGAGCCTTTGTGGCTTTTGCGGAGGCCTTGTTTTGGCCGGGACGGGGAGCGCGGGGACATCCGCGGTAGTTAGCTGTGTGGCCCTGTGTGCCACAGAGTACACAGCTAGGTGGGGTCGGGGTGCCACTCACGCGAGTGCATTGCTTGGTGCCGTGGTCTCCCAGGCACTTGACGCAACGTTCGCGCGCGTAGCAGTTTCGGGCGGAGTGCCCATAATTTTGGCAGCGGTGGCACTGCCCGGGGTAAGTCCGCTTATTTGGCGGTTCTACTGATAGGCCTGAGATCAGGCAGACACTTCGGATGTTGAAGATAGATTTCCCCTCTGGGGAGAGATCTAGTACCACTAGTACCATGTCTAGTGGCGTTTTGGCCCTGTTGCGGTACATCCTGTGTACCTCGTGGACGGGGTAGTTTTGTGAGCGGATATCTGCGAGGATGTCCTGGCAGTCCAGCTCCTTAGGGACGCCGCGTATTACTACGCGCAGTCGTTTCTCCTCCTCGAGGGCATAAGTGTGGTAACCCACACTGTTTGTCCTGAGGAAGGAAGTTAACTGGCGATGATCCGCCGATGTGGGAACCACTACTCTGATTCCTAGTGAGGTTACCCTTGCATGGGTAAAGGATATGCGCTTTTCCTTCAGCGCAGCTGACACCCTGTTCCAGGCTGTCTTGTCCTGGATGATTATAGGAGGAGGAGGCCTCACTTTCCCCGCGTGATCGCGGTCGGTTTTATCGGCGTTAGCCGGAACGGGTGCGCCATCGTTGGCACGTTGGGTTTTAGGCGGGGGAAGATCGCGCGCCCGCTTCGCGCGTTTGGTGCGCTTGGCACCCACAATTTGAAATTCCTCTTCCGAGGAGGAGGCAGTGTCGGAGGAGTCGCCTGTTTCGGCGACGACGTTGGGAGCGTCTAGCTCCATTTCCGTTTCAGAGGAGGGGCGGTTGGGAGCAACCTCCTGAGGGGACATCGGCTCCGGGGTACTCACTAGGTGGTCCCCGGGGGAAGGTGGGTTTGAGGACAGCTCGTCGTTGGCCTCCTGAAGGGGGGCCGCCGGCGAGGCAGGGGCGTCGTCATGTATCACATGTGCGCCCCTGCGCTCATCGAAAAATGCCTTTAAGAGGCCAGGACATTTGGCCTTTAAAAAGGCCACGAATTGTGGAATGTCATCCTGGGACAGCGACATGTTGTCCCAGGAAACACTCCTCTTATAAATTAGCAATGCACCCGACTCTTAAGTCGGGTGCCAATACCTAAAAATAATTTAAATTTATAATACGGACAATGCGCTACTATAAAAGTGGACACAAAAAATAAGCCGCTACAAGCCGCGTATATAAGGGCCTGTTGGGACCTGTCCAGGTATGAGTCGCCCTTTATACAAGGATTAGTCACCGGCCGGGCGACGGTTACCCGGCCGCTTTGTGTACAGTTAACCGCCCCGCCGAGTACGGCGGGGGGGTGTGTGCCTATTGTTAATGTAACAATGGAATGTAGTCACCGGAGTGACTTGTGTACCTGTTGCCGATACTTGGCCGGGGTGTCGAAGGCGGCGCGGGTCGCCGGGGAGGAGAGTGCTGGTCTCTGGCACCGGCTCCGGAGCTGGTGCGCTGCGCTTATGGCGCAGTACACCACCCTAACACTTGTTAGTCCGATGCACTAGAGTTCACAACACTACACAATTGTCACTTGTAACTGTTCACATGCACTCACTGCACTCGCGACGCGACGAGGTGGCAGCGCGTGCCGTGTACGCGAACGGACGGCCGTTAAAAAGCGCGCGAAACTAAGGCGACGAACGAGAACCTCGTGCCCAAGTTGTTCTCTACTTTTCTTCGTGTCCGACGTGTTTGCGTATCCGCTGACTCCGTGCAACAAGGCAGCGCTACACAACGGAGTATTGATGCCAGTAGTGACGCGTGCGTCACCAAAGGCTATCTGTGATCGCACGCTATAAAAAAGTATTTTAAGTATTTTGTAACAATGATAGTTTTGACAATAAAATATTTAAGGGTAGGGGGGATGTAGGAAAAATATTGATGCGAAATACCTATATACGTATTCACACACATCATACTCGCAATATATGTACATGAATTGGAATGCTGTTAAGTATTGTTCTAAAATGCTAAGTTAATACAATTCAGATCTTATGCAAAGCGACGTATTTCATTAACTCTTCATATCAGCCTTTAACTGTCCACTGCTGAACATTATCCTCCTCCTTGGGGGGTTTTGCCAGTAGTTGCCAAGCTTGGCAGGTGAATTGGTAATCACAGTCAGGCTTTGGAGGTGTTTCAAGAGAGGCGCTGCTGCCCATCCCTTAGTCGCCTCATACGACATCCACTGGAAAGGAAGGAGTAGCCTATTCTATGCTGGGACCACAAGGAGGTTTTATTAAATAGCACGTGTCAATATGAATAACATACAATCTATATTAATTCAAATGTTAATTTTATTTGTAATTACTCTAACAGCAGCTGTTTCCGGTTCCGAGAATGGTTTCGGGCCTCTGAAGAAGATATTGCCAGGATCTTCTGACGAGCCTTCTTCACCTTTCTCTCCCCAGCCATAACTGTAAAATAACAAAAATAAGGCCTTTAAAATTTACACTCATTACAGGTAACAATAATAAAATTTATATCGGTAAATTTATTATTACTTTTAATTATGTATGCCATTTATTTATTATAATCATTATACTTCATACACTATGTTAAATACTAGACACATTAATGCTTATTTTCTTGTCTATTGGTTAACGTGTCAAGAATTACTGGTAACTGAACAAACCTAAAATTCCTATTGAGATCAACACCAATGCACTCTCCATATTTAGCTCTGTTCTTGCGCCACATGCGGTCATGGGTGTGTGTGTATTCATATCCATCTGGGTTCAGTACAGGCACAATGTACCTGTAAATTAAGTAGGATTATGTTCCGATTTTCATTTTTCTTCGGAAGGTTATTGTTCAAAACGTTAGTCCAAAAATTCTATATCTATCTATTGAGGTTTTTGTTATCTCTTAGCGTTATAACGACTTAGAAAACATGCACTATATGGTATGGAGAAGGAGATAGGCAATTTTTTTATCCCGGTCAGTAAACATATCCTACGAAGTCATGAATAGAAGCTAGTTTATTATATATTCAATTTTGTACCACTTACCAGTCTTTGTTAGTGACGCTGTCAGGTTGATCTTGGTAGGTCCTGACTAGTCGGTCAGCTATATACGTCACTACGGCGGTGGTGATCCACTCCCGAGGGTGGATGGATCCGTCCAACCACACACCTATATTGTCCTTATTGCCATTTGATACCTTCAGCATCTATTGTAGTATGAAGGTCAATTCTCAATTCTTTCGTTTTATTCGTGTTTCTGACGTGCAGCAGCTATGCTTAATTGAATGCGTTTAGGTTTGTATGCGATACGTTAGTGAATGGAAGTCCACGGAGCTGTTTACCATTATAAGTTTCATAAAAAAATATAATGGCAATACTTTAAAAATAATTAATCTTACTTATTTATTACAGTATCAACAAAAGAATAGTAATAAATAATAATTTTATTGTCGTGTATTATAAACTCCAAAGATTTCATGTATTTTATTTAAGATAAAAAGTAGCTTATTATATATTTAGCATCTCACCATATTTAGTATAAAGATAGACCTATATAAACATATATTAAATTAAATTCAAACTCGCTTAACCGTTAAGTATTGTTGAGTAATAAATATTTACTATATATATATATATATATATATATATATATATATATATATATATATATATATATATATATATATATATATATATATATATTTATAAACTAAGCATTTTTATTATTATGAAGAAAGCATTTAAAACTAAATATTACCTTAATATCTCGGCCTTCAGTTGATTTTCCAATAATAATCACGCTACATAGATATGGATAGTCTGTCGATAAATTTTCCAGAAATTCATATACTACGTCCAAACGATGGTAGTGTTTCCAATCTATATTATGACCTGTGGAAAGTTGACGTGGAAAATAAGTGAAAGGAGGATGGGAATTTTTTAAACACCTATTTTGTCTCATATTGTGATGTGTTTGACATTTGTCTGGAAATGAACAAATTTAATAACATGTCTGTCAAACAAATAGCGAAGTGATATATTTAGAATATTTAGAAGCACTTAAAAAATGTAATATAAGAGCAATTGGATATAAATTTACTGGATACAAAGATTAAAGAGGATAGCTATGTTTTGCAGGTTTTTGTACTTATGACGTTTTGCATTCATATAAATTTTATTTAAACTTTAATATTAAACTATTATTAATATATATACTAATCATTATTATTAATATTGTAATAAATACTGTAATATCTTACGAATATCAGCAGAGTTTATTCTAGGCATTTTTGTAACAGTTGCACCCTGTTCACGTTCAAGCATAGCTCTGACATCCCCGATGGCTATGGAGTATGGGATCTCCCTTTCGTGCAACATCCCAGATACTTGTGCTGCTCTAGAACCTTCCACCATTATATCCATTGTGCTATGCTCTTCTTTCCAAATATTAATTGCTGAAAATTGAAACTAAGATTAGTCTTCATTCATTCATTCATCATTCATAATTTCATTTCATTTCATTTCATTTCATTTCATTTCATTTCATTCATTTCATTTCATTTCATTTCATTTCATTTCATTTCATTTCATTTCATTTCATTTCATTTCATTTCATTTCATTTCATTTCATTTCATTTCATTTCATTTCATTTCATTTCATTTCATTTCATTTCATTTCATTTCATTTCATTTCATTTCATTTCATTTCATTTCACTTCATTTCACTTCATTTCACTTCATTTCACTTCATTTCACTTCATTTCACTTCATTTCACTTCATTTCACTTCATTTCACTTCATTTCACTTCATTTCACTTCATTTCACTTCATTTCACTTCATTTCACTTCATTTCACTTCATTTCACTTCATTTCACTTCATTTCACTTCATTTCACTTCATTTCACTTCATTTCACTTCATTTCACTTCATTTCACTTCATTTCACTTCATTTCACTTCATTTCACTTCATTTCACTTCATTTCACTTCATTTCACTTCATTTCACTTCATTTCACTTCATTTCACTTCATTTCACTTCATTTCACTTCATTTCACTTCATTTCACTTCATTTCACTTCATTTCACTTCATTTCACTTCATTTCACTTCATTTCACTTCATTTCACTTCATTTCACTTCATTTCACTTCATTTCACTTCATTTCACTTCATTTCACTTCATTTCACTTCATTTCACTTCATTTCACTTCATTTCACTTCATTTCACTTCATTTCACTTCATTTCACTTCATTTCACTTCATTTCACTTCATTTCACTTCATTTCACTTCATTTCACTTCATTTCACTTCATTTCACTTCATTTCACTTCATTTCACTTCATTTCACTTCATTTCACTTCATTTCACTTCATTTCACTTCATTTCACTTCATTTCACTTCATTTCACTTCATTTCACTTCATTTCACTTCATTTCACTTCATTTCACTTCATTTCACTTCATTTCACTTCATTTCACTTCATTTCACTTCATTTCACTTCATTTCACTTCATTTCACTTCATTTCACTTCATTTCACTTCATTTCACTTCATTTCACTTCATTTCACTTCATTTCACTTCATTTCACTTCATTTCACTTCATTTCACTTCATTTCACTTCATTTCACTTCATTTCACTTCATTTCACTTCATTTCACTTCATTTCACTTCATTTCATTTCATTTCATGTCATTTCATGTCATTTCATTTCATTTCATGTCATTTCATGTCATTTCATGTCATTTCATTTCATTTCATTTCATTTCATTTCATTTCATTTCATTTCATTTCACTTCATTTCACTTCATTTCACTTCATTTCACTTCATTTCACTTCATTTCACTTCATTTCACTTCATTTCACTTCATTTCACTTCATTTCACTTCATTTCACTTCATTTCACTTCATTTCACTTCATTTCACTTCATTTCACTTCATTTCACTTCATTTCACTTCATTTCACTTCATTTCACTTCATTTCACTTCATTTCACTTCATTTCACTTCATTTCACTTCATTTCACTTCATTTCACTTCATTTCACTTCATTTCACTTCATTTCACTTCATTTCACTTCATTTCACTTCATTTCACTTCATTTCACTTCATTTCACTTCATTTCACTTCATTTCACTTCATTTCATTTCATTTCATTTCATTTCATTTCATTTCATTTCATTTCATTTCATTTCATTTCATTTCATTTCATTTCATTTCATTTCATTTCATTTCATTTCATTTCATTTCATTTCATTTCATTTCATTTCATTTCATTTCATTTCATTTCATTTCATTTCATTTCATTTCATTTCATTTCATTTCATTTCATTTCATTTCATTTCATTTCATTTCATTTCATTTCATTTCATTTCATTTCATTTCACTTCATTTCACTTCATTTCACTTCATTTCACTTCATTTCACTTCATTTCACTTCATTTCACTTCATTTCACTTCATTTCACTTCATTTCACTTCATTTCACTTCATTTCACTTCATTTCACTTCATTTCACTTCATTTCACTTCATTTCACTTCATTTCACTTCATTTCACTTCATTTCACTTCATTTCACTTCATTTCACTTCATTTCACTTCATTTCACTTCATTTCACTTCATTTCACTTCATTTCACTTCATTTCACTTCATTTCACTTCATTTCACTTCATTTCATTTCATTTCATTTCATTTCATTTCATTTCATTTCATTTCATTTCATTTCATTTCATTTCATTTCATTTCATTTCATTTCATTTCATTTCATTTCATTTCATTTCATTTCATTTCATTTCATTTCATTTCATTTCATTTCATTTCATTTCATTTCATTTCATTTCATTTCATTTCATTTCATTTCATTTCATTTCATTTCATTTCATTTCATTTCATTTCTTAGGTGTAAGAATGTAAGGATTTCTTTTTACTTTTTACACTATGAACTTTTAATGAAGACATTAAAAAAGCTAATAATAAAAAAAATGTTTGCGTGAAGTATAAATAAATCTAATTATAATTAAAAGTAATAACGTAAGAATCTTCTTTTGTTGTTGTTGTTACCCTATAATTACACTTATAAATATTTAGTACCAAGTGCCTAATATCTATATTACATAATTATAATTTATTGTTACAATAAAGTTATTGTTACTATAAGAATTTTGAAAAACTCCCTCAAACAGGTAGCGTGAAATAAAAGGACATTACAATAAGCCACCTAATCAACTTCTGTCCAAGTACTTATACGAAATATGATAAAAAAAAAACAGAAATGTCTAACAACAATAGTATCGTAGCTTCATTACTTTTGTCACATTAATAAAAAAACAAAAATATCTTTCCAAACAATTTATCTGATGGTATTAATTGTCCATCTGTTAACTTATAATTTTTACATTTTACAGATTTTGTTTATGTACTTAAGAGAATATTCATATCGATGTAATTTGATTTTTTTTTCTAAATTAGAATGCCTCTAACTGTACACACCTCCTACGGTATCCAAAGACTTCACAAAATACCTTTGACCTTCTCTAATAAATTTTACTTGCCATACTTGGGTTATATCTTTTGTAGATGCCACTTTGACTGAATACTTTTACCTAAATAAAATAAAAAAAATTGTGGTACGGTTTTGTAACGAAACAAATGACTTGTTTCTTTTTTAATTAATAACTTGTAATTTTATTTTAAAGTGGAAACCAATTTGACGAGATCTGTTTGATATTGCTATCTAGATTTGTCAATTGTCAATAAATAAAATATAATTACCATTAACAAGGTTTTATTTAAGTAAAAACTTATAAAAAGATATTAAACTACAGATATTATCCTTAAACTATGGAAATTAATAATACTAATATCCATTGTAAATTATCATTTCAACTTATCAATCCACTTCACCGACTTCCAGTACACATAATAAAATGAAAATGGATAATATTGGAAGTATAATACTTTTAGATGATATCTTTTGAATATCATAATATTATAGTTTTTTTTTTGATGGGTGATAATGGTATGGTAACTCCGCATGCGCTAACGGGATACGCTGGCGGAGCACCAGTGAAGGGTGATAGATGAGAATGAAAACAGGCCAGTTAGCCCATCATGATGAATTCATCAGGAATTAACCATGATAGTTTCCAGGGAGAACCGCGAGGATGCCGACCTGGTTGGCTATATTGCTAGCAATTGGAGTCTCAGTCTCCATTTCTAACAATCCCTTTCCCCCCATAATATTATAGTAGTAATCAGTAAATGTTACAAATAAGGATAACAATGATTGAAGTATGATAATTCATACAATATACAGTAACTACATCGTAATCTTCAAGAAAAGAGCATATTCTTTTTCAAAATGTCAACAGCATATCTGCTATTTCTCCAGTGTTGTGAGTGCTTATGCACGGCGGTAGTCACTTACTATTTGGTGAACTGCATGCTTGTTTGCCTAATGTGTTATAAAAAAAACAGTCTCACCTTAAAGTTTTATCCTCAAATCTGTCTAGTGAACGTATATCCACATATTCCATTACAGTTTTAAAGCAATTTAAAATTTTATTTCCAGTTTCTACTATCTCTTCTTTAGGCAGCTTGAATTTATGTTGTTTACTTCTTAGCTTAATAAGGTAACAATACGGTATACTGGCTGTTCCGTAACTCCAATCATAGCTGGTACCTGCAGCTCCATACATTACGTCTTGCGAAATGCCCACATAGTATGTATTGCCATTGCATTTATGAATAGCCTTGGGTAAGAACAAAAAGAGAATTACTTACAGTAAATATTGACCAAATCAATCCATATCTACTAATGATGTAGAATAACAAATATTTGTTGTAATAGTTAACGCAATTTTTTACATAAGCATATATTAGTGCTTATACAAACTGAAGTATATTTTCATAACCTTTAGCGTTGCTTAAAAATTTAATTTTAGAAACATTTAGTTTCTTAAAATAGAACGTAGATTCACAAACTATTATAGTCCAAGATGCCGCCGCTGACATTTGCAGCCATGACTTTTTAATGAAACTTGGTTTAAATAAACCTGTGAGCTTTGTATAACATTTCCGCTTATGTTTTATTTAAAGATACATTCTTCAGATTAAAAAAGTTTCATACTTGCAGAAATAAGCGACGAGATTTTAGGTTATTAATATGAGTTTGTAAATATACGTCCTGTTTTAAGAAACTAAGTATTCCCATAATTATAACATTTGTGTTATAATCTAATCCATCTTTACAAGCATTAGATTTGATTTATTCCAATTTTGTACTAGTTTAATATTAAGATTGCTTATTTAGTATGGTCTTTACATATATATCTTTGTCATAACAGTAGCTCCTTCTAGTAAGCGTATATAATTTGGACATAGTTCATCTTTAAATGCGAATGGAAAAATAATAACTTGGCCGTAACTATGAAGAGTTATATACACTTTAAAAGGTATAATAGAGTTAGATAATATGTTCTGAAACAAACATTGTCAAAATATAAATTATCTACGCGTAACAGCGAATTAATTTAATGTAATGGAACGATTGAAAACCAGTACAATGAAATTGATATACTAAATCCTGTTTGCAGTTTAATCTCGGCGTCCGATACCGATGACACGATTTTGGAATCAACGGTACGTTACCGTTATATAATGATTACATTACATTAATAATGATGTTATAATATTTAACGATAAGTGTATTTATGTTCTTGAAATGATTCTTTAATATAATTAATATGTAATCAAGTATTGGAATAAAAATGGTGTTATTTACTAGAGGAAACGGTTGAGCAGTTCAGCTTCGATAGTTGTCTTTTATTTAAAAGGTCCATGGGTCATCATATCGGTCGTTAATCGTTCACTGTCGATCATGCACCATCCCTATGGGAGGTTTTGCCAGTAGTTGTCACGCTTGGCTAACGGATTGGCAACCGCAGTTAGGCTATGATGACGTTTAAAAGAGACGCTGCTACTCATTCTTCGACCAATAAATTCCTTTAGTCGCTGCTTCACGACAGCCACGGGAAAGGAAGAAGTTGCTCATTTTATACTGGGAATAAACGGATGTGTAATGGTATATGGAAATCCTTGATATGAAAAAAAAATTAAGGTAATATAGACGTCACAATTACTAATAAAGGCTAAGATTAAGAAATATCAAAGATATCTATATATAAAAGTAGTTTTTTACGTAAAGTTTTGTAGAGAAAATTAAATATATTGAAAAGTCATCTGATGATAAGTAATGTTAATTGTTGTTTTTAAATCATTCACAGTACTCTAAGATGAAATAAAAGTCATAACTTGATCAAGTTTAAGACATAATTTATTTATATTTACAAAGTGGTTGCAAAATTCATTCTATAAATTGTAAATTTGTTATCATTATCAATTATCAAAATTAACAAAATTCGTTCATATGTTTAATAAATAGAATAAAAAAACATTAAAGCATTATATAAAATATTTAACACAGTTCTTAAATAAAAAAAAACATATTTTAAACAGTTCCGTAAAATAAAACCAACCATTGCAACCAACGTAAAATTCTTTAATTTCTCTCTACTACTCCAACTAGAGACAAAAAGAATGTTTTAATATTTAGCGGTAAAATTCTAGTCAATAAATCTGAAGTTTATATTGAAATGTAGATAAATCTTAATTTGAATACTTTTTCATGAAGAACGCATTGTTTAGCTTCTTTATCGAATTCATTTATAGAGTAGTAGTCACAGTGGCTGTAAAGATAACGACCAGGTAGGTAAGCAGTGTCTAATGAAAAACAAAGGGGCCACGAACACCCCTCCCTTTGCCACCCCGCAGCCTATATTTAGCGACTAATTACTGAACACTGCCATTATAAATGTATATGTATGTAGGTTGGAAAAGTCTGTGTTCAATTTGTCTTTTTACTGTATTTATAGATTTATTTTATGGCATCACTTACTCTGGTGATTTAACTGGGCTAAATATTTTTTTTAAACAACTTTAAACAGAAAATAAGTTGACGGCCTACATGAAAGAAAGTGGTAATTGTCGTGAACAAGACGTATCTAAGTATATAAGATCGTATAGACATGGACAGTACCATAAACATAAGAGAGTATACTGCGTCGTACATGATGCCCCACATGCGTTGCCATTCCTGAGGCCTAAGGTATTTTTTTTTTGCTGGGTGATAATGGTATGGCAACCCCGCCTGCGCTAACGGGATACGCTGGCGAGGCACCAGTGAAGGGTGATAGATGAGAATGAAAACAGGCCAGTTAGCCCATCGTGATGAATTCATCAGGAATTAACCATGATAGTTTTCAGGGGGAACCGCGAGGAGGAGGTCGACCTGGTTTACTATATTGCTAGCAATGGGATTCTCAGTCTCCATTACTAACAATCCCTTTCCCCCTGGCCAAAGGTATTAAACCTCTGTATTTTGTTATTACACTGCCATATCTATATCTTTAAACCGAAATAGAGCGATGCAAACATAACTGCTTCATGTAAGAAATATTGTGGGAGACTCCTATTTTTGAGGGAGGTCTATGTTCAGCAGTGGATAGTTAACAGCTGGTATGATGATGATGAAACTTAAATATGCAGCCGTGCAAATGAGAATGCAATAGAAATACCAAAAGACTGTGCAAAATCTTCATTTGTAAATGAATCCTAAAGTATTTTAGTTTTAAGTAAAAAATTGCATAATTCAATCGAATAGAGCATTAAATAATTATAAGCTTAATGTTGCATACGAGCGGGTTTTCATATAAAATAATACTGTGAGATGTCGATAAATCTAACAAGCAAGTAACAAGCGTCACCAGGAGGGCAGGCACAATTAAAAAGATAAACGCGCTTAAGACCGAGTCGAGGCGACACTTGGGTGGCAGGGGGCGCCGTTTGGGGTCCGCTGTCTGGTTAGCGGGTTACCAAGAGATCCGAGCTACCATTGGTTTTCACAATTTTAGAGATTCATCCAAAAAGATAAAATGTAAAATATAGGAAGTCTATAATAATAATGTAAAACCTAATAAAAATAATAAGTATTGTTATTAAATTAATTATAATTAGATAGATAAATACTTATTAAAATAAAGTAAGTCTCTAAATATCTAAAAAAGGTTTGTACAATGGATGGATTGATAGATGTTTGTTATACTTTTACGCAAAAACTACTGAATGAAAGGTACACGGGTATATTACATATTTACATTACATAAGATACTTTATGTACTAATTCAGGCACATGATGCCGTGGGATACAGTTAGTCTAAAATATACTACGTCGTTATACTGCATAGATTCCAATTAATGAAATAGAGGCAAATCGATGATGATTGTAGTAGCTTAATCGACAAATTAATTGCATATAATAGAAATTATAAATAAATAAAATTGACGTAAAGAATTTATATCATATATGGGTAATTAAAAATTTTATATTTAAATATATATTTTCTAGTTTAATTAATATAGTTAAAATAATTGGTAAATTTATAGCAACAAGCATTTGCTGTAGCTAATCTATTCACAGGCACAATTTCTCTAATTAAAAAAAAGTCATTCGTGAGAATTGAAAATATTGTGTAGTCCTATGGTAGGGCCTCCGTTTCATTAGAGGGGAGTGCATGGGCGAGAACAAGGCGGGCGGCGGCGGCAAGGCGTTTACTGAAAATATCTGATTACATCTAATTATCGAGCGAGCAGTGGCGCGGTGCTTAGCGCCCGAGCGCTTTCCACCACCCGTCTTGATTACACGCCCATTGTTTGCGAAAATGCTCAACAGTCATCTCTAGACTATATAATTGGTAGTTTTAAGCTTATTTATACGATGACAAGTATATTTTGTTCTTGTAAAAAAATAGCGACTTTAATCGCAAGAAAACACACGTATGAATCATCAGATTGAAATATTTACATTTCTTTACATCTTGTGTTTACAATTAGATTTTGATAGTTTTTGTCCCTAAATTATAATGAGACCAATATAGAAGTAAATCCTATCGGCTGCAAAAATATACCATATTTTGTTTTCAAATAATGATGTGATTACATAATATACACGTACTGACGAAACGTTACTAATGAATCTAATGAATTAAAAATCTCACAGATTAAGATTTTGTTAGAACTGGTAAAGCACATTATCGTATTTGAAATAATGTTACTAAAAACCTCACAGATTATATTCTCTTTATATGAAGATTTTTTTTATTTTAGAAGTAGCTTAAAATATCGTACGACTCTTACGATAATTATTATATTATCATTTCTTACTAAAGTACGAGAAGATAAGAAGTTACTGCAAAAAGAGATTTTATCATCTAATCTGTATACTAAATCGACTTAATAAAATAGGTTTAAGCTTTATTGACAGCTCTAATTATCTCTGATATAGATTATTCGCCGAATTAAAATGTCAAACTAGCGTCAAAATTTTGATTTACAATTTCGGAGAATTGTTTACTAGATTCCAAATTTCGGTGCAATAAATTAGTCAAAGTGGCCCGTAAAAACTCAAGATATCAGATATGGGACGTCAAGTGCTTAAAAGAAGGACAGAAGACTTTTCTAAGAAGTCTCAACTACAAAGGCGGTGAGGCACATGATGGTGTACAGTAATTGTTTATTAGTTTACTGTATTATAAGATTGATAAAACTATGACACTTAGAATGGTAAAGAATCTAACGGCTCACCTGATGGTAAGTGATAACTGTCGCCTATAGATACGTACACCACAGAATATACTGTAATGCCCATAATATCTTTTATGTGCTGGTATTCTCGAGGTGTTATGCTTCGTAACCTGAATTTTACATCCATATTCCACCTTCCAAATCGAGCCAACTTTCACAGCCATGCAACTACAACAGCTATATGCTAGAAAATACGGATGGAATGGAACCATACAAGTTACGAGTTTGTCTAAAATTATAATATAGAAATACTTAACTGATTTTTTAAAGTCTTTCACCTATAGATTAGATTATCAGCGAGTAACGTGATATATATATATATTTACTATAGTACTTCTTCGAAAACGCCGTATTAAGGGTCGGCAACGTCGTGCGTGACATCTCTGGTATTACAGGCGTTCATAGGTTACGGTAACCTCGTTTACCATCACAGTATGCTTGTTTACCACTATAGTAGTATAAAAAAATACTAGTATGATGTTAAAAGGCCTAAATTAAGGATAATACCTGCGGTCCCCTTTCTATGTAAAAATGATATGATAATAAAATTGCAGCTATAAATATCTGCAAGGAGTACGACAATGCTATGGACGTGATAGTGGAGGGACAACGTACTATGCAGCTGGAAAAGTTGCTGAAAGAGAGGGAGATCCCCTTCGAGGTGACGGTGACGGATACACGTTTATCCGCTTCGCCACAACGAATCCGGAGCCCTATTAGTGTAACGCAAAGACAGCGTTCGCCAATTAGTAAATATCAGCTTACTTATACGTCTTGGTATTATAAAAGTGAAAGTTTGTAAAGACATTTGGATGTTTGTCACTCAAACATGCTTAAATAGTCGAACAGATTTTAATAGATAGACTATGTTTGTGGATCAAGCATGCTTAAAAAGATGAATGGATTTAAATCTAAGTAGTCTAAATATGTATTAATTCCAAATAAAGAGTGCATAGAATAATTTTTATATAAATTCATGTGGTTAAATTTGTGAGTAACAGATATTTGTTTATAGTAATTAAATAATTTTAATTGTCAAATTGAGTAAGAAATCACCTTCAGGTCATTTCCACTTGTAAAGCAGTATTGGTAAATGAAATTAATTTATTAAATATGTACTCATACGCTATGATGTCAAACCGTCAATTCGATTGATGGAATCGGATTAAATTCTTCACGTCAAGGCATTTTGTTCTATTTTACTTTTGGTTAGCTTATAGCTACAGATTAGATAGAGATTTTTTTATTACACTCTTCCAGAACAATCTATGGATTGGAAAGATTATTACAATTTAAATATAATATACAGTTTCCTGGATAGTTTGGAAACTATTTATCCTTCTATTTGCACCACGAGTGTAATTAGGAAGTCAGTGGAGGGAAGGGATATTAAGGTACCTACGTTTAAAATAGTAATTCTTTCTTTAGTTTTATAGAATGAAATTATTAACGGAGAACTGTTTTTAGATGTTAAAAATATCAAATAGTAATGCATCTAATACAGCTGTATGGTTAGATGGTACTATACACGCTAGAGAGTGGATTAGTACGTCTGTTGTTACTTACATAGCTAATCATATTGCTAGAAATTTCAATACACTGCCTGACAGTATTACTAATAAAGATTGGTAAGAACTATAAATTATATTTTTTGTATCTTAATGTGTTCAGAAATGAAATTGTACATTATGTAATTTTTAAGGTACTTTGTCCCAGTAGTAAACCCAGATGGATACCATTATACTCATATACTAGATCGTATGTGGAGAAAAAACAGATCTCGAACTGGAAATAGTATTACTGGAGTTGACCTTAACAGGAATTTTGGGTACAGATTTGATATATTAAAATTTTAATACGTACCTATTTCTTTATTAAATACTAATTATAAAGGTGATGTTTAAACAGTCTGGCAATGAACTATCATCATCATCATATCAGCCTTGGGGAGTTTTGTCAGTAGTTGCCACGCTTGGCAGGCGGATTGGCAACCGCAGTCAGACTTTACAGATGTTTTAAGAGGGACGTTGCTGCCCATCTCCCCCTCGCTCTCCCTTAGTCGGTTCTTAGAACAGCCACGGGAATAGGAGAGGTAGCCTATTTTATGCCGGGACTAGTGTGTGCACAGTGTGCCTTTATATATATTATTATATATGTATATAACTAGTAGATGAATCAAAATATATGTACATAAAAAAAATTATTGCGTTGTTACCATTTAGTTCTGTTTCTTTTTAGATATAATTGGGGACGAAATGGCAATGAATATTCTCATGACCCAAACAATTTAAACTATCGAGGTACGGAGCCATTTTCTGAACCAGAAACTGCAGCTATAAAGGTAGAAACATCAACTAATCATATATGATTCACTTCATCATCATAATTGGTTTAAGTTATATTAATAGATTTTATATCTATTTTTACAGGATTTAATTTTATATTCGGGCACACCGTTTAAGATATTTCTGACATTCCATGCTTACAGTGAAGTAATTTCTTTCCCTTGGTGTCACACAGCTGAACCTTGTCCTGATTATGTAACTTTACTTGAAGGCGGTACAATTATGGCTAAGGTATTATACGATCATTTATTCATATTTTTATCCAGAGCTACTCAATATTTTATTAATGTTATTATTAATAATTCAGGCTATCTACGAAACAAGCGGTCGCATGTATAAAGTGGGAAACTTCAAAGATGTCATGTACTGTGCGTGCGGTACAAGCATTGACTGGAGTTATGGTACTGCTCGTATTCCTTTTTCCTATCTCGTCGAGTTGAGAAGCAAAGAACACCGATTTCTATTACCAAGAGAGGAGATCGAAGACTGTTGTAGAGAAGTTCTGAGCGCTGTGAAAGCATTAGCTGAATTCGTAGACAGAAAAAAAATTGTGAATTGTACTGTATTATCTAGAAAAAATCGTTAATTTTATTCATATCTTCTGAAAAGTATACTTTATTTGAATGGTAATAAAAGTAATCGGAATCAAAAAGTTTATTAATATTAGACATATCAATAAATCTTATTTACAATCACTTAATATTTGCAATGATATCAATAAGTACTTACTCATGCCTATTAATGAAATGATAAAAACTTTTCGTTCTTTATAACTTTTAATTTCACGTGCATTTATTTCTGATCGACAAAATCCATTAGACACTTCACTGCACACCAAATTTCTGAACACGTGTCAACAATTTGGTCTTTTGGCAATTTGAATTTGTGTTTTTTGCTTCTAAGTTCTATCATGTAAGAGAAAGGTATTTTCGCTATACCGTAGCTCCAATCCGTACTCGTTCCACAAGCAAAGTAAGTCATATCTTTAGTACTTCCAACCTTATAGGTCATTCTCGTACAATCGTAAATTGCCTGTCAATAAAAATGTTTTATTAAATTGTTTAGTTCTTTAGCATCAACTACCACAATAATATATTTTATAAATGTATTTATTTACGCGAATCCTGTTACCCTTGCCATTACAGCACCGCCTTCCAATAATTGAAGATAGTGTGGGCAGGGATCTTTCTTATATCCCCATGGGAAAATTATTAGTTCGAAGTAACTATGAAATGACAGGAATACTTTGAATGGCGTCGTTGAACTCAATATTGTATCCTGAAAGAAACACATTCTGTGAACTTTTTCAACTGACTTTAAAAAGAAGGAGGTTCTCATTTCGGTTGTATTTTATTATATTTATTATCTCATCACTTCGTCAATTATAAACTGATTAGATTTTTTTATCTGAATGGACATACTTACAGATTAATCCCATAGAAAATTTGTCAAAATCGGTTCTATAGTTTAGCTTTTAATCAAAATGACTGGTTTTGCCACAATTTATGTCAGTTTTTTTTAGTACAACACAATTTTTAAAAATAAAAACCACATTTCTTCTATACTCACTCTTACAGCTATGGTTTCTGGTTCTGAGAAAGGTGCCGGCCCTCTATAGAATACATTGTTTGGTTCATCAGAAGAACCTTCGTCGCCATTGTTTCCCCAACCACAACTAATGAGAAGAACAATATTATTATTAATTTTATTTAACGTTTATTTTTTATTTAAAATAATGTTTGAAATTTAAACCTGAAGTTTCTATTCAGATCGACACCATATTGTCCATCGTAGCACGCCCGATTTTTCCTCCACATACGATCTTGTGTATGTGTGTATTCATAACCATCTGGATTTAGAACTGGCACTATATGCCTACAAATATTATACATAAAGATTTCGATAGCATTTTAAATATAAAGATTGTATTTAATATTGTACAGAAAATTTAGTTCGTTCTACTAACCAGTCCTTGTTGGTGATAGAGTTTGAGAGTTTTTTAAAATTTCTAACTAATGTATCAGCTATATATGTAACTACAGATGCGCTGATCCATTCACGGGCATGTATGGACCCGTCTATCCATACAGCAGAATTGCGTGCATCGCTGTTGGATATCTTTAACATCTTAAAATTCATTAATGTTAATGTAGCGTGAATTAAACGTATTTAAAATGTATAATTTACTACTGCATATAATTATTTAATTTATAACAAAATAAATACAATACAAGTTGAAAATAACTTCCAAGAATATGATAGTGACTAAGTTAAAGTTTTTATAAAGAGGAAATACTTTATTTTTTGATTGTATTTTTTTTTATATAACTTAGAATGGCAAATAAGCTGACGGCCCACCTGATGGAAAGTGGTAACCGTCGCCTATAGACATGAGCAGTACCATGGACATAACAGAGTATACTGTTACGCCCATGGTACCCCCCATTCGTTGAGTATACTGTTACGCCTAAAAACTAACTGATTTTAAAAATTCTTTCACTTATAGAAACCTATATTTTCAGCGAGTAATATGGATTGCAATGTATTAAAAAAAAAAATCGTAAAAAGATAGAGTGGACTGCTAGCTTTATATACTAGTAAAAAAAAAAAAATATGATCACAATATTATTTACTTTGATGTCCCGTCCTTCTACAGATTTCCCTATCACGCTGACTGTACAAATCGCAGGATAATCTCTTTCAAGTTCATCAATAAAGGCATAGATTACGTTGAGTCTATGGTATCTCTTCCAGTCCATTAATTTTACTAAAATAAAAATAATTGTTATAAAGGTAACAAAACTGTAAAGTAATAAAAAATATAATGTAGATATAATCTTACTGTTTCTTTTCTTCGGATTGTGTGTTGGAACTATTTGTTTTATACATTTTCGAAGCATGCTACTGGGTATACATTTTCCTATAATTTAGAAATAATATCATAATATAATAACAGTCATAACATCAAAATAGATACACACATATTACATCTTTTAGACAATGTTTGCGGAAATTACGTATGTAGTTGTAAGCCGATGGTAAGCAGTTATTACGACCTAAGAATGAAGTCAACTTCATGTAATTTTACAGCCATATTTTATTATTCAAATTGAAAGTCACATAGCTCGACGACACGACAACCTATGGGAAAGAAAGTTTCTTGAGTGACGATCCCGTACGGACAGAAGAATTCGACTCAATTTGAATGCATTGCAGGTAGTCAGTAAACGCAAGTGACTCAGGACAATTCCTTATGGCAGTACATGGGGGAGGCCTATGTTCAGCAATGGAAAGGTAATGGCTGAGATGATGATGATGAAGCAAGCTAAAAGTTTGGTGATAAAATTTAAGAGGTGAGATAGAAGTTTACCAGAGGGAGACTTTGTACAAAAGTCGATTGCTTGGGTACCTCAGTCCCATTCGTGTTTCAACTGCGAAGCAGTTGTGTTTGCAGGGCTGAATATACTGAGTACAAAGGAATAACACCTGAGTCCTCAGGAATGGCAACGCATAGGGGGTATCATGGGCAAAACAGTATACTGTGTTATGTCCATGGTACTGCTCATGTCTATAGGCGACGGTTACCACTTTCCATCAGGTGGGCCGTCAGCTTGTTTGCCATTCTAAGTTGTATAAAAAAAAACATTGCAAAGGACACAGAATAAAATTTTCCTTTGCTCATGCATACTGGTGCAAATTAGACAACAAAATAATCGTACTATTTAGCCTAGTCTGAATACTAATATCGGTTGTTTCAGTCATAGTGGAGAATTCGTCTTCTTCGTCATCTTTATCGATCCGATCATTTCTCTGCAGTAGATCATCCATTTTGTTTACACATTTAGGTGGAGAAAATACAGTCAAAGTAAGATGCGCTTCGCTTTGATGTGAAGACATTGGTTTTATCATTATTTTTCTGAAAATAATGATTATTATTTTTAATAAATTTAATAAATGAAATATAATAATTATATTGAATGATTATTATGTGACCTGGTATTAAATATTGTGTTCAAATATAAAATTTTGGACTGTTTCTTGTGAACATATTTTTTTCTTTTGGCTGAATAGATTTAAATAAAATACGTGCAAAACGGACTCTATCATAGATCGATATAAAACCAAAACATACAGATAATTTATAACACCTATTATTGTTACCTATTTATATATTTATAAAAATAGGATTCAATAATAATTTTACATTCAAATGACGAGAGTAATCATTAAATAGCTTAAAGTAACTATTGCGTACCTTTTAAACTTGGATAAAATAAAAATCTTAATTAATACTGCATATTTCGATATCCATATAGAATTACTGAAAATTTGCACGCTTGTGATTTTCTAAACATTGTAGGTGTTAATTTTTTGGTCTGTTTATAATTTGATGTGTCACGTGACAATAGTTCCTCACAGATAAAAAATGTAACGTAATTTTTATAATGTGAATTTTTCGTATTGAAATAGATCTCATTTGCCTGAGTGTTTCGTCATAGATGTAGTTTAAGGTAATAACATACATTTTGTTACCTATTCACTATCTACGGTATTTATTCAATGGCATATTTTTTCCGAATACTTGTAAAACATTGAATTACAGTAGGTATTTTTTTTAAATACCATGTTATGTATATACTACAATCATTACTATTACAATCAATCTAAACCTGTGATCATCATCATCATATCAATTATTAACTGGCCACTGTTGGGCATAAGCCTTGCCCATAAGGAGTGTTTCCGTATGAGTAGATAACCTAAACCTATTTTGTGTTATAATTATACCAAAACTCATTCAATCAAACAAGTTTAATAAGTATAAAACAGTTCACTTCCATTGTTAACATAAATAATAAAATGTATTTTTTATATTGTTTATTTATTTAAATAACTAATGTACATTTTCCTTTTAAGCTTTACCGTATATTCAAGTAAAATTCTATATTTGAATTAAAAGTTTAAAAAACGAATACGAGAATGCCACTGACGAAAATGTGGATTTTAGAGTTCGGATTAGAAAACCGCGGGTAGGAACTGAGTGAGGCCGACCGGTGGCGCGGTGGCGCGTCACCACAGGCGTCACGTCCGCAGTGTGGCGGTGGCACTACTCGCAGCCAATCACACGGGCGCGGTGTCATGCCGCGGATGTTAATTCTGGTAATATTTCACAGATCACAATATCATAGTGACATCGAAATAAGATCGCTTATTTATAAACAAAATGTAGGTACTACAGGGAAAATTTATACAAAAATTATCTATTTGGGTACCTCTGTCTCTCTCGTGTTTCTGTAACTAAGTAATAGTGTTTACTTGGCTTTGTTGCAGTTTAAAGGGAAGTGACAATAGCATATACGAGAGGGAAATCATAAAATCATAAAAAAGCACAGAAGTATAAAATCTTATATCTCAAGCATGGGGATGCGTGAAAAGTATTAAAGTATTATAGTGTATTCTATGATGTTTTGGGCGTTGTATATGTTTAAAGGCGACGGTTACCACTTACTATCAAATGGGCTATCAGATTGTTTTTAATTCATTTCACATTATCACAGTAACATCGAATTATTAAGTAATAATAAATATAATCACGCGACATCTATGACCTAGAGACAATTGCTTTACATAATTGTATTGATATCAAATTGTGCGTCTTGTTGTTTTTTTTTAAATTGTGTATCTAAACGTCAATGTTTAAAATTTTATGGGCCCTAAATTACTAACTGATTAGAAATGTGGATGAATAACATTAGCGTGTTTTGTTTAAAATAAGCGTTATTATATTTATTAAGTAAATTTATATATCAAGTATATTTAAATAAATGATTTATTTTTATCCAAATCAATTGTAGTATTTAATAAATTAGACTTTGATTGGAGAGAAGTAGGAAAAAACTTATCTGTGTTGCAGGTCCCTAGGCTCCCTCTACAATTTTTGAGCTAAAGAAAAGACTGATACGAAATATTATTCTGTCACTTTCAATTTTGACCTATTTTAGTTACAGAAAAATACTTCGATTTAAAATAAATCAAATAATAATAAAATAAATTTGTATATATGTGTATATGTGTATTAGCTGTATACGTTCATACTAAGCATTGAAGACATTTCTAAAATAAATCCTTTGAAATCTTTTAAAATATCTAAATGTCTAAATGTATAAGCCCGTATGTCGTATGATAAGTAACTATTATATGTACAATTTTCTTTTAAATAGCATAAAATTGTATCGTTTCCTTTTTGCCTTTCTTGTGAATATTTTAAGTCTTCAAAATACTTCGATTGAAATTCTTTCTTTCGAATAGGAAAAATTTTCTAAGTTATATAAAAAAGTTTTGATGATAATTATTAATAGGCCGAAAATTTATAATAAATGATGAGATTTAAACCTACATCTTGCTGCTATCCAGCCTGAGTATATTTCAAATTTTACAGAGAAATTTTTATAATCTTATAATGCATTCTGTGTTTTAACAATTACCATTTATATGTGAAGATTCAAGCTTTTTATTTTTTTATTTTGTTACAGATTACACAATCTTTCTAAAACATTAAAAAATAATAACTATATACATTAATTTAGATACTTTATATATAATTCATATAAATGAAATGTGTGAAATTTATCAGAATAGTCTCTCTAACTTTTGCAGCCAAACTTTGAACTGTCGCTCAACTATGTGAATTGCAGACGCAGTCACACTAATTGCATACAAATGAGATTGATTGAAATAGACTACGCTTTTTAGGGTTTTACAGCTAACTGGATAAAAAAGGAACACAAAATTTCAATTCTTCTATTCAATTATTAATGTCTTTATTTAAAGAGTTTATTTATTTATTTTATTGTAGGTAAAACCAAGAACTTAAAATGCTACACGGCTATTTCATATCATAATTATTTAGTTACGTTTATCAGTGTAGCTGGTCACATTAAATGACCGATATGAACAACGCGCGATTACCTACCGCTGTTAAACAGCTAACTTAAAGCGATTATTGGTGAAACCGACGTGATCAATAATGTGGAACAGATGATATTAAATTATTGGAGTATTCACAATTACTCGTCGGTAGGTCTGACATGCAATTTCTCGTACTCGGTGACGGGACTACTCGCTTTAAGTTAGCTGTTTAACAGCGGTAGGTAATCACGCGTTGTTCACATCGGTCATTTAATATGACCAGCTACACCAGAATTAAGTATAACAATATGTAATCTATCTATCTATCTATCTATTTAAGAGCTGCGCTCTTGTCGGTGGAGCTCTTGCCACTCACTACGATTTTCAGCGAGTCTCTTCACTTCTTGATACGACACAACACAAACTCCTTCCTTGATCTGCCTGATGTAACTATGTCTCGGTCTATGTCTATATGTAATAGTATTGATAAAATACCATAATGAATAACCAACCATAGTACTCGTATTGGGAATCAGCAATGCCATAGGAACAACATTTAACTACCATATGGTTCTCCTTGCACTTTTGTGGTAAATTCTTGGATTAAGTTATGATAAAGCAATTGACTTGATTTCATCTTCACCCATCATTCCTAGCATGGCATGGCGGTACTAAAAATTAAACGATTATAATTGTCATTATATACTGATGTATGTGTGAGAATGTAAACAAAATACATCGATAATATAATGCGGTATCGTGTGTCCATAATTATATAAATCTGGTAGAAAATAAGGAGGACTAAGTGTTTATAAGGATAGGTAGTGGGATTTAACTAGGTTTTTAAAGATATACAAAGATTGAGCGCACTGTATAGAGGTATATTTGTATAATATAGTTACAAAAAATTATATAAATAGAAAATCTTCTTCGGACTTAATAATGAGCTATAAATTACTAGCGCTGTGATTGTAGTTCGCGTAATCAGAGCTTAGACTAACACCATACCGCTGGTCTCCATCAATTAATTGGCTCGCTGTCTGGTTTGCAAACTGACGAATGCTCTTGTATGCGCGCCGTTTGTCTGGGTAATTGATCAAAGAGACAACTGACTTTGTCAGTAGCTTGATTGACCTACATGTGGCAGGATTTACATTTGGTGTAGAGTTTGAATGACTTAATCACTCGCTTAGATTCAAAGTGTCGATTGCTAAAGATGTTCTCTTCGTATCTGAAGCCGATGTAAATTTAATTGTCTTACATATTGTTGTATATAACGTATTATTTACTTCCAAGTCGCCTTTTTAATAGGTGCAAATGTAACTATCTACAAATGAGATTATGTTCCATAAAAAAGGAAACCGGCTTAAATTATATCATAACTTGTTTCTTTTACTTAAAAACTAAACCGATATTGATAGTTTGTATGGGACCAATTTGCAAATATATCCTTTCAGATAAAAGAAGAATTTTCCAAATCAGTTTTTAACTGACGAAGATATGAGGTTTCGTCAGTAAACAGTAGATCTTGCGTTTAATCAAGTCGGTCATCCCTGATCTAGCAGCTTTTGAGTTTTAGCAAGACTAACTAACGGCGATTTTTTATATATATATATATATATATATTATCCGTATCTTTTTGTACAGAGTATTGATTTAATACTATAAACATTCAAAAGAGCTTAACAATGTCCTAAAGCTACTGGGGTAGACTTTTAACATAAACCTATCAGTGTAAACAGGGCTTTGTTAGCTTCCTGCGCTCGCGGGTAAAACGTTGTAATGTGTAAAACACGACGAAGCAAAAAATATGCTTACGGGCAATAACAATATCTCTAGATTTCTGACTGGATTTAATTATAAAGTGAATTTGTTATCTACTTTATAGAGCACAAAGCAATCCGCTTCTCATACATTGTTGAATCGAAGTAAGTAACCAAACATTCATGACTTCTTATGAAAATTTTAAAATTATTTGTTTGTTACCTTTAGGTATCTTAACAGCTTAATCTATTATCATTAAATTTGGCATACATGTAGTTTCATCCATATGAAGACAAAAACTCATATTAACATTGCTTTCTTGATACAATCGGCATAATATACATATAAAAAGTAAAATTACCAAAAGTCACAAAATGTGTAATTTATCTAAAGGTCTACGTTTGTCTGTTTTATTTTAATAATAAAAATAGAATGAAGGCAGGTAGATAGATAGCTATTAAATTTATTTAAATCTTATATTAAATTCATTTTAAAGTTTCGCATACTTCCATTTGATGTAGGCGGAAAATATTTTATTTTTAGTTTATTTTTATAAGTAAATTAAAAATATTATATTATCTGTCTACTCTATTATTAGTAATAGTTTTTCATTAATGAAAAAATGTATGCGTAAGTAGATATAAATATGTAGATCGTTAAAAAATAAACCAACCTATACAAAAATATTATTTATAAACGTTC